TTAGGAATCGAGGTCACGGGTATTTTTTTGTATAAACTATTATTTTTTTATGATATTTCCTCTTTTAATCACTATCAAAAATATGATTGCACGTATGCGACGACCTCGTGGAATTTACTCGTTAATTTTCAAAAGCGTAACAATGTTTCATCTATAAAGTAAAAATACCTCAAAGCATCACAAAGCCGAAATAGTTGATGCGGAACTGCCGACAATTAGAAGTTCCATAGGAGCGTATGGATGGACCGCACAGTATGCATAGGCCGGCCGCAGATTATAACTTTACTATAAAGTCTGACTTAGTTGCGTATTTTGAATACATGTTGTCTTTTAACTATGTAGAGTAGCATACAAATTTGTCGAATGTGCCAGAAATTACAATTATTATTAAATTTCAAATATCGTTGCAATGTGAAAGAAAAACAATTTACCCCATGAGGGTGTTGTCTATTACAATGATGATCTTTATATCACAATATCTTTACATGAAAACACCACAATTTTTACACTTATTTTCCTTATTTTTCAATGAAAGTTAAGATTTGGTGGATTTAAATACTTTGTACTAGTATTTAATTGCATTGTATAGAATCTTATAAAACAAAACAAAATTAAGTTGGCGGTTTTCGTTATTTATTAATTTTAATATTTTTATTACAGTATTTCATTCGACTTTGGTTGATATTAAGACAGATTAGTTTTATTACATAAAGGCAACATATTACAAATCATCTTTCAAAATAATTGCATAGCGTTTGGGTAGAAAATGTTTTTATTTTTATTGAACACACTTAACTGATTCTCATTCGTATCTACATCCAATTCGTTTAAGCGTGGAGTTTTATGTAAACAACTACCTTCTATCAGTACTTAAATTATTTCTATTATATTATGTGCATTTGAGGAATTATCTGAAATAAGGGTGTATCGTTGATGACATAAAATCTCGCGTGGTACTTATATAATAATAAACTACAGGAAAGAATTTTATTTCACGCGCTCCAAAAATGTAATTTCTCATAATTTGTGTTATGAAAACCATGATTAGAGCAAACAATCAGCTCTTACTCAAGATATTTAGATTGATTATGTAAGCATACAGAATGTATCACATATTAAGTTTATGCTCACTATAAAAGTTACAGCCTATAACGTCCCACAGCTGGGCACAGGCGTCCTCTCATTTCTCATAGGGTTTTAGAGCAAAGAAGTGTCCACCGCGCTGCCCCAATGCTTGTTGGCGAACTAGAATCATGTCTTCGAAATATTTCTCAGACATGCAGATTTCCTCACGATGTTTTCCTTCACCGCCGAGCATGAGCTGTGGTAGCTCAGATGCCGTGCTCAGAATCCGTCATAGTCTTAAAAGATAACAATGCATCTATATTTTGATTCTCAATTGAGGATACATATAAATGTCTATGGACCACAGCAACCACCTGTGGTGTGTGGTGGACTGTGTGCTAGTTTGTCACTCCAGTTCTAGATATGGTATATATTATGGTGGAGCAATATCATTGACTGAGGTTGAAGTTAAAGAAAACGTTGCATCTATATTATGGATGTAGCACAAATGGGTCGGCTCGAACGAAGAAGGACCACGATCTCACAAAATAGCATAAAATAGCGGCTTAAATCTGCTGCGTTTCGCATGCTGAGTGTAAAGAACCGGATAATATTTTACTGGAAACGACGCACTCCACATAGTTCTACGGGGGTAACAATGCATTTACATTTGGATTCTCATTCGATGACAGATTCAGTATATGGGCAACAGTTTCAACTTAACATCATGTGGACTGTGTACTCGTTTGTTGGGTGACAAACAAGTACACAGTTCATAGTTTACATAATAAAAACATATTTAATCCAATACATAATTTATGCTTGACAAACAGAGCACATGTACTACCATCAACACCAAAACATTAACTAACGCAATAACGTCCAAAAAATGGACGCCGGTTCGCCCACTCACTGACGATTCGGACTGCTTCCATTTGGCGTGGCGTACGTTTTTGACATCGACGGACGGCTGCGGACGAAGTCCATTTGGACTGGACGCATGGATTTCAATCCATTTGGAAATCCAGGGCTGAATGAAATCCATCCAAATGGAATATGTTTTTACCATTCATGGAACGATTTTGGACGATTACCACTCCATTTGGATTAATGGACGTATCGTCAGTGGGTACCATTATAGTTCTTTATTTGCGAGTGATTAAAAAAACCGAAGGGTTAATTTATGTGATAATAAGTATATTATGTAATTATACTTATGATCATGTAATATATGAGTGTCTCGTTGGTTTAGTGCTAAACGCGGTTACAGATCTTGAGATACCGGGTTCAAATTCCGGGTTGGGCCAAATATCAGTTATCTGTGCTTCTTTCAAGAAATTTTCAGTACAAACCATTCGGTGGCGGTGTTTCACCCCTGTGCCTCAGAAAGCAAGAGTGAGCCGTTGGTCCTGCCCCTGCACTCTCTCCAGTCGTGTCGGATAATCGTCCTGTGCTTGCGCGTTTAGTCGGGCACCATAATCCTGTCCTGCGCAAATGGCTAGTTTCTTTATACTTAGGACTTTATATTTAGGCGAATAGTACACATTAAATGAAAATAATTTACCAGATTTTAATTTTAAACTCGATAAAATCCGTAAAATTAGTTACATATTTTATGATTTAAGGCGTTTTAAGTCAATATTTTATTAGAGCCTGGTCATCGTAAAAAATTTATACCGAAAAGTTTTTCATTACACTTTTATGCTTTAGTGTAATAAATAATATTTTAATAGCATAATATTACTTAGAAAATTGTATAACATTCCATTATTCATGTCATAAAATCTTATATTTGTGAAATTCGACGAAATACCCGTGCAAACTATCATAATGGCTCTTGAGGGACACAGTTTCTGTTATAACAGACCGAAATGGAATTAGACACGTTTAATTTAATCTACATTACAAACTAATCCCGCTAAAATGGCACAATAGCTGGCTCAGGGTGTGCTTCGGAACTATTCGCGGTTGCTTTTACCGTAGTGTCCTGTTTTTAATAGTGATGTTCAGCTGTAGAATATAAAATATTTTGTCCGAAGTTATAAAAGAACTTTATAATTGAAAATTAAATATTTTAATTGATTAATATTTTAAATTTAGTATTACTTATTCCATAAAGCGCAATTAGCCATAAAATATTTAGATAAAATATATAATAAAATATTCTTTCAGTGAGTTTTGATTACATATAGAACATTTAACATATAGAAGACTAGTTACGTTAGATCTTTAGTCCATAAGTAGTCTGCAAAAGATATATTATGCCTCTATCATTGTAAAGATTTAGTAATATTATCGTTCTTGTAATATATTACAGAAACATCGACAGGTTTCTAGTTCAGCACATCACTGTGTTAGGTATTTAGCCGGTTGCGCACCCAGTTGTGTCATCAAACTGGGCTAATATTGTTAAACGGTTACATTGTCGCGGCTGCATGCACTGAAAGCACCATCGGTGTATCCGAAACACGAAGTGCAGAATGTGAAATTGTACCTAGCTGAAATTGTTACTTTAATAAGTTTTATATTTTCAAATCACATAACATGCTATTATTGTACTTGTGTACTATGTTGTTTTGGGATTGGTATAATTAAATTATATACAGAACATATGAGGGAATTAAATTACTTGCACTAATGTGGAATCACAGACATTATAGAATTTTAACACTTCAACGTTTTCTTGATGGTAAAGGATACAAATGACTCATAATCGTTTGAAACTGACGCTAAAGGTCCTCATGTTATCTCTTTTCGGCAATAAGAGCGATATATCATGAAATATATATTAAACTTATATCTTAAGATCCTGGTAACCCAGAGAATAAGTGCTCGTCTTAACTTTCACACTGCCTACACGAGCAACACAGGTTTGATCCCTACTGGTATCAATGAAATGCGTAATTGCAATTTTAATTTTTATTTACCACTTGCTCGGCGGTGACGGAAAACATCGTGAGGAAACTTGGTGATAAAATATTTCGAGGATATGGTGTGTAGTCTGCCTAAATGCGCCGGAGCTGTGCGACGAACTAATCACTCTGTTAGACTGCTTTCTCAGGGGTCCTGTGCTTAGTCATAGGATATACGAGCGTATGAGATCACAACTTTAACCATAAATACCAAACATTTATAAAATTTATTTTAACTTTTTAAGTATTACACGCATGTTAAGTCAAATTTGTTTTCTATTAATACAAAATGTTATTTTTTTCTCTTCATTAATTTTTGAAGTAGCGCTATTAAATTCAGACTAGTAGAAGATAATTAAATTTTAATTGATTCATACTTTAAATTACTCGTCTGCCTGTCAATTAATTCTACTAATTAGTCCGTTGAATTAAATAAAGCACTGCATTTCAGACTGGAAAAAGTCCTCTTTGTTCACAGACTGTAATTTTTTTTGATTTCGATGAACTCTTCTGCTAAGAGCAATATTTTTCTGTTCTCTAGTGAGAGTCCGCATCATTTAATAGAACTAACTTAATGGAGTAAGAAACTCACTTTAAGTTACTAAAACACTATAAAGTGCCTTGCAGTCTCGCTGTCAAGCTAATTGAAACTACATTGTAATACTCACAGCATCGCTGCAACTTAATTTCTAACACACGATTACATTCTTATTATTTAAGCCACTTGCTGCCTTTACGGATATACTTATACGGTATTTTGTTTCCAACTTTTACGAAGCTTTGTTTAAAAGTTGGCAAGTATGAAGGTATAAATGTAAAAGCCACCAACATTTTAGACAACGTTCTCACTTGCTGTTAAGAAAAAGAAACAGAACTAACGACTGGTTTTTTTTCTATATATTTCTTTAACGTTTTTCAGGAGAGAAATTATTTTATAATGTTTGTTTTATAAAATATTTATGAAATATATAAGATTGAAACCGTGTATTGTTTTAAATGTAAAATGAAATAATATTGTTTCAGTTCGCAACGGATACTCCTGCGTGCCTATTGCGTTATCCGAAGGCCTTGATATCAGATTGGGCACCTGTGTATCTGAGATCCTGTATGGAGGACCAGGAGTCACCGTCAAGGCTGTAAACTCTAGAGCTCCGAACCAACCTCAAATATTCAAAGGTGAATACACTTCATTCATTACAGCGTATCTAAAGTGCAGTGCTGAACTAACTGTGCAAGATAGCCGCGTAGGGGGAATATGTATATTTTTTACTTTTTATTATAATTTATTATTCATAGAGGATGCTTTATATTTTAATAAAAATTTTTTATTTACTCTAATTATGCATGTATAAAAACTAAAAGTAAATTAAATCTTTACTAAATTGTAAAACGCGCTGAATTTCTGTTTTCCGTTTTTTTTTTTCAAACGTTTCCCCCTCACTATTTTTTTCTCCTATATCGTGAAGGCACCTTACAAACTCTACTACTTTACTAATCTACTTGTATACCGTACAGATACATGTTCCGTGCGGGATTCGATGCCGCGGCGCAATGAAGCGCTTTTACTACCAGCACAGTCAATATACATAATTTATTACAAACAATTTCACAATTTTCTCCTTATTATGTTTTTTTTTTCGGTTTTTTTTGTACCGAATAGCTAGCTAGCCTTCTTTTGCGAAGTATGTTAAAGAGAATTAAAAGTCTGTTTTAATTCCCTTATTTCGGAAATATTTCCTTGTAAAATATGCACGTTTTGAAAGGTGATAAAATGTAACATTCTGTTGATTTTACTACTTGCACAGACTCGTGCAAAACGTTTAACCTTATATTCTTTCCGGAGAATATAGGAAAACCAAATTCATACTGGAGAGCGAACGCGCGGAAACATAAAAAAGGAATACAAAACACGACCGTCGACAAATTAATGGGCGTTATGAGAAAAATCCACAATGCCGACGGCGGCTCCTTGTCATTTCTTTGTCGCGGAATGATTTGCAATTCTAACGCGTTAATTTCACTTTGACGAGGCGAAAAAATACGGGCGTCTGTTGACCCGACAGCTTTCCCCCTTCTCCTATACCGTGTGGAGCCGTGCCACATTTACATACGGCGAAGTCAATTGTAAAAGTGCCAGATAGACTTTAAAGAGGTGGTATTAGTTGCCCGCTTCTGCCAGGCAGATACGAGAAAAAAAAACAACTTCCTTTGAGCACGGTAACATGCCAAATATATCGTAGCTCATGAATTTCTCTTTCAATATTCTCCGTGACAGCTATCGCACTGCAACTTACTGACCCAAATAAAACGCTTTCAGCATTCATCGTGGAAGATATCATAGAAAACTTTCAGTTCCGTTTCTTGACAGACAGTTCGGTAAAACTTTTTACAAATTGAAATTTTGTTAGGAAATTTTAATATTGAATTTAAATATTTTTAATAAATAAAGCTTCGTTATAGTCATAGAATAGAATATAATAATTTTTATTCGATATAAATTACAAGAATATTAGATTGAAAGTCATTTAGGCTTTACCACTGGTTCGGATAAAGCCTCTTTCATGACAACATTTAGAAACAGTGAAAAATAACTTTTAAATTTTGAAGTACAATTTTTTGTGTTAAATACTCAGTTCAAATATTGTATATCATCTCTTTACCACCAGAGGCACACATACCAACTACATATGTAGTTGACAAATGTTATGATCATGGATTCAAGGAGCCTTCCTTCCGTGTTAAGAGTATCCTGCTATAAACTTTTACTGTCCTATACTTGAATAAAACTTTCGCGTAAATTTAAGAAATCATTATGTCCTATACTCTTAATAATTTCCTTACCTTCCTTTCTTTGATAGCGATATGAACATCGAACACCCTAGATAAACTACAAACTACAAATACTAATCACAGCGATCACCAAAACGCGTGACAAGCATTGGGATTATAGTAAATTATAATATTTTTACGTGGTACAGCCATACTGTATCTATATTACTGGTATAGCTGTAGCACGAATGGGTCGGCTCGACTGGGCAAGGACCACGCTCTCACAGAATACTAGCGTCAAATAGCAGATTAACGCTGCTGTGTTTCGTATGGTGAGTGTAGAGAACTGGAGACCTCTTTTACTGGAAATGAGGCATACCATCTTAGTCCTTACGGGTGACCACACATCTGCATTTTGATTCGTATTCGAAGATAGATGTAGACGTCTATGGGGCACAAAAAAAACTTACCATCAGCTGAATTGTGTGCTCGTATGTCACCCTTATAATATAAAAATATATGAACTTATATATCCTATTGAATGGATGAACAAATTTTCTGAAATCGTTTTTTATATATTTCCTAACAAAAACCTACTCACCATTTCTATTATTTATATTCTGCTGTACTTTATATCTACTATACTATATGCTATGGATCCCAGCTATTTAAAGAAAAACTTAAAGTTTAGTTTTCATAACAGGCCGAATAGGTCAGCGGTCAGCTTAAAAACTTATTCTCGTAATACATACTTTTGGAACCAAATTCTTATTTCTTCGCTTTCAAGGCCAAAATCATCGTACGAAAACACTAGATAAGTTTGTGACTGTCGTCAACCAAAACATAGTTTCCTCCTGTATTTGTTTATGTAATATATATGCCAATTCAGTCTTATGTAACATGTCTATAATATTTATACACCTTGTAAGGTTCCTATAGTATTATTATATGTATTATTATGTTATTATAAAATAAAATATTACTTTAGTTTATTTATGTTTAACGTTCGTTTGTTTTATACACCTCCATTATTAGCTCTGAAAGAGATAACTTTTTAGTGATAGAAGATTGCCTTGTTGTACCTTCCTCATAATTAACTTTCTGTAATCGGATCCATGGAATACTATAATACATATATTATAGAACGGGGGAGTGGGCGGAACCCGTGTAGCCACTAAAATGTCACTAACATGTCAACTCACACGTATAACTGTCAACACGAGATGTGTTCTGACGTTACAATCGTTTCCAAATTTCGCATGCAAATTATTTAGAAAATGCCAAATTGCACACTATTTACAAATAAATATGTATTAAAATTTAAACGATTTTTTTTAATGATGATCTTGAACATTAATCAAAAGTCTAAAATGTTTAAATTTACTCAGTCTGTCAACTGAGCGAATCGGGTTTGTAGTAGTGATAATACGACATAATTGCTTATATGAGTGCTCCCGGCGACGACGATTCTATGATTCTTCATAGAATCTATATATACTATATATATCATATATATATATATATATATATATATATATATATATATATATATATATATATATATACTATATATGATATATATAGTATTCTATGATCGGGTCGGTTGTTGTGTACAGTAAAGTATATTGAAAATCTATATATTATACCTATAATAATATGTTATTGTTTTTCTCTAATACTCATATCCTATCAGATTTGAAAATGGAACATTATACTGAAGCTTTTCACGATAAGACGAGATTTTTCTCACCACGGGTTCTGGATTAATATAAATAGCGTTTCATTTGCGATATTCGAACCCAAAATCTAGTTGCAGTCCGTTAAGATTAAGTACATTTCTAATGCTGATTTCTTTGTTTTATAGCATAAGACTATTTCGTTTTACGATCTTAATTCGCATGTGCATAAAAGTTTTAATATGTGTAGGAGCAACTTGATTCCACAAAGGCATATAATGAATAAATCATTTTCTATTTGTGTTTAATCCTTCATTTTCGTTTTAGTTCTCTCGGCAGATTGCTATATTACATTGACATAAATATAAACGTATAGTAATATAAAGTTTATTTACTAGATACGTCATTAACATAAATAATTACATAAGTTTTACTTGAACTTACGCTATTAAGCCGTTTGAGTAGGACGAGATGCAAGTGGAAAGTTTAAAACATCGCAATATTGTTCCAGGTGATGTAGTTCTCTGCACTTTGCCGCTGGGAGTGTTGAAAGTTGCAGTGGCGAACAACGGCCAGAATCAACAGAACTTTGTTAAATTTGATCCACCGCTACCCGACTGGAAGGTAGTTAGTTTACCTTACTCATATGTCACGGTTATTTGAAACTGGGATTTATTATAATAATTGTTAATCGTGTAAGATAAAAGATGCTGTTATTGTGTGTGATATAAAAAGCTTTACCTGGTTATCCCAGCCCGTGTTTGGGAAAAATTTAAGAAATTGTTTTCTAATCATTGTCTATCTATTTTTTAAATAGTCAAAACAGTTCCCTGGTTGGTCACCAATTGAAAAAACATTTACCAGACAATTACTTTAAACGCTTATAATGTAAGAAAACTGTTCAGTAATATTTTTTCATATATTTGTAGTTCATTTATATAAGAACTTCATTTCTCAATCATAATATTGATTTTGAATTGTATAAAACTGAGCCAGAATTTTGCCCAAAAATTTTGTACATACCAGGCTTTCTAATCACTACCACAGCTTCTGCGAAATCATCTTCATCTTGCTCTTTACAGTAATTATGTTCACTTGTGACATCCCATCCTGAAAAAAATAGTCAATCACATTTTTGTACCTAACTGATCATATAAGTCAAAGAGTAAAAAGCGATAGTCCATAGTAGTAGTGATTATAGCAAACCCTCTCTACTGCGGAAGGAATCATATCCAGCTATAAAGATTATTAGATTTATTAGCCATAAAGAATAATATATAAACTTATACTTATACTTAACGTAGAATATTTGTTTGTATATCTGAATCGTATTTCAAAAAAAAAAGGCTTCGAAAATATATACACATTACAAATTAAATTAGCATTTAGATTTATATATATATATATATATATATATATATATATATCTCCGAACACCTACATGGCACCAACGAAATTGTTAATTGCAATTTTGATGGTTTTCGACATCCATATCGATGACGGATAACATCGTAAGGAAACCTGCATGTCTGAGAAATAAGATAAAATATATTGACATGTGAAAATCGCGAACACGCATTGGGGCAGCGCGACGGAATTTCCTTGCCCCAAAAACCCTATCAGAAATGAGAGAAGGCAGGTGCTCAGCTGTGGGACGTATATAAGCTGTAACTTATCTTTTAATTAGCATTTTATTTACATACAGGTCAAGCTCATATAAAGTGTGTTACACGCTTTATATGAGCTTGACCTGTATGTATATATATTCGAATCGAATTTTATAATTCTTTTTGCACTCGATACTTCCAAACCTCTGAATCTAACATTTTGCAGACATATTAAGAACCAATAACTATACAATAATTGCATGACTATGACCTTGTATTCTCAGAAGAGGGGCATCACAGTTAATCGTAGCCATCAAAAGTCCACTGCTAAATATATGCCTCCCCCATATATTACCTAATATTAATTATGGCATATATATGAACTAAATGGGGGTTTTTGGCATAGTTGCAACGCTTGGCAGGAAGGTTGGCAACTGAATTTTTTATTATTATTGGTTATTATCAAGAAAATGATGCTGTCCACCTTCTGTTTCTGTACCTTCTGTTTCTGATTGTATGGTGTAGTATTGAGTAGCTATTCACGTGTACAATTGTTTAAATTAAGATACAAGTGGTACAATTATTGATTTATTTATTTGTTTTTTTTTTTTATATATATAAAGGAAAATATTTTTTAACTGGATATAACTGAAAATATTTTAAATGACCATATTTCACCAGGTCGCAGCTATCAAACGTCTGGGCTACGGAAATTTGAACAAAGTGGTCTTGTGCTTCGAACGAACATTTTGGGATCCGAGTGCCAATCTCTTCGGGCACGTCGGCACAACTACTGCTAGCAGAGGTATGCTATAATCTATAAGCCGTTTTAGTATATTATTGCCCACAACATATTTTACCATTTGTTATTTATTGTATAGTGCTTACACGAAAAAAAGTTGTCCCAGCAGTAAAGAAGTTAATTAATTTGCAACCTTCCGCTAACTAAATACAATGATGTGTCTTACCTAGTTTAAAGAGCACCTCCCGCCCTCCCTCAATTGCGTGCACTATTCCCATCACCACCAATCCCAGCACCACTACTCAGGAAAGACACACCCCTAAGTTAGCGGTCAGCCGCCGTAGAGTCTACATCACCTGAGGATGCCTCGTGTAGAGGCGAAACACGTGTCGTATAATCATCGATGGTGTGTCTTTCCTGGAATATTGGTGTTGGGAGTAGTGGTGCTGGGATTGGTGCACGCAATTGAGGGAGGGCGGGAGGTGCTCTTTAATCCAGATAAGACACATCATTGTATTTAGTTAGCGGAAGGTTGCAAATTAATTAACTTCTTTATTATAATTGATTTCGCAAAGTAACGCCTGATTCTATCAGTTGTCCCAGCAGCTGTTATAACTCGTTTGTGAAATGATCTTCAATTGAATGTAGTAAATATTAGGCCCTTTTTTACTGGCAACGAGTCATTCCACCAATAATAAGGCAATATTTATTTAGATTTCTGTGGTGACGACGCATCTGCATTTTGATTCTTAATCGAGGATAAATGTAGTTGTCCATGGGCCACAGCTTCCATTTACCATCACGTGGACTGTGTGCTCGTTTTTCACCCTTATTTTATTTAAAAAAAGTATGATTTGTTACTAAAAAATTTTTCTGTTACCTCTTAAAATTGAATGAATGGTTTTCATTTTACGCCTAGTAAGTTAATTTTCTCGAAGCGTTTTTAGCTGGCTTAAACAATTACGTATTTTATCAGAATTTCTTACACCTGCAACGCACTAAACATTACAAATGTTTTTAAAAGTTTTACGGTACGTACTAAATAGCTTGTTAGAGTCAGAGTATAAACGCCCGACTTAAACTTAGTACGCGAGCTAACCAAGTTGATCCCCGTTAGTAACAATGGAACTAAATTGCAATTTTAAGTGCTGTATTACCATTTGCTTTGCTGTAAAGGTAAACTTCAGTATCGTGGAGGCAGTTTACAAACATAAATTGCACAAGGACAAACATCCAGACCCGGAACAATTATTTTTAGCCATACAAATACCTGTTCCATGCGGGAATTAAACCCGCGGCCCCCAGCGTAGCAAGTCATTTTTAAACCACTGCACCACGGAGCAATTAAAATAAATTACATATTTCGATGATATGTAAGCACGTCAATACGTATATAAACAGTGCAGCGGACGATTCCCTCGTCCAAAATCCTCGGTAACGAACGAAGGTAGCCTCCCACTTAGCGTTGCCACTTTAGTGAATTTGTCACTGGATTTAGTGAATTTTTGGAGTTAGATAGTGATATTCTGAAAAAAATACGTGTGGCACTCGGTGACTGCCGCGGTAAAGCTATTGCATAGCATTTTTTATCAACTTATGCAATTATAATTATTTATTTATTTTATTTATGCAGTTCAGTCTTTGATATTAAATCAAGTTACACTTTTTGAGCGTGTTTACAATAAGCAATTTTTTTTCTCTTATTGAATAAATGAGAAGTTAATATTGTTTAAAATATTTTTAATATCTTACAATACATGTAGGTTATTCAGGAATTTTTGTCATTGAGTTAGCAGCTAGTGTACACGCATACGTCTAGTCGCACGCACACAAACACCGTGCCGAAGTCTGCCGAGTGCCGAAGTCTGCCGAACTGAAACGACGTTAGACGATGCACGGCTTTCAACGCCACACCTCCGTGCCCGTCGGAGTGGGGAGCGTGAGGTTTTTTTTCGTTACGGAATTTCTGGATTCGGTCCCCGCGCTCAAGGCCCGCGATAGAAGCTATGCAATAGCTTAAAAATCACTGAAAAGTTATTTGATGACTTTTAGTGACATTGCTCAAATCTTAAAGAATTTAGAAAAAAATATATTAATCCTCTTGACATGTCGGTGAATTCTCCAGTTTTATGTCAAAATAGCACTATCGTTTTTTCTCATAATAAAAACGTAATTAGACGCCTTTGTTAGGTTATGCTAACCTACCTTAGGGATTTCCCAAATAATAATGAGAACCTAACGCGTATGTTAAGTTTGTTTCAGAGGATGCTGAAACTGTTACTTGTATTTAATTACTTGCTAGTCTTCGTTCGCAAAAGTAGGTCAATTTTTTAAAAAAAAAAATAAAAGAATATTAACAATGCATAAACATTACTAATATTCCCCTTAACCACTCGTGGTAAGCTTAAATTGCTTGTGTTACGAGTGGTTCACGCCAGTAGTCGAATGGTGGATTCGAACCCACGACCTTTTTGAGTTCGCGGTCCGCGTCCTGCCATTAGGCTACTGTCGCTTAAACAATACGATTAGTAGTTTAGTATTTAAATTATTCAATTCCGAATGTTTTTGTTAAGTGTCTATTATTTTTTGTACCGCATTTCTAGCATTAGAACTACTGAGAAATACGAATAATGGCGTACCTAATTTAATTTTTGTCAAATGTATTTACCACCCGTTGCAATTAGCTGTTTCACATGCGTCAGAGCGAAATATAGATTTTCTCATTAGAGAAACTTATAATTGGTTCTCACATTCACCCAAACGCTGCGATGAGTACAAAGATATATACTTATGAGACATTAAATTGTGGCGAGAATCCTTTGAAAAATTTGCGCTCTTGTGAAACTCATCGAGAAACTATGACCAGGATACTGTTTTGATTATATATATATATATATATATATATATATATATATATATATATATATATGGGTCAATCAACTATTCTTTGTACGCAAACAATTCGATTCAAAAAATAAATTAAAAAATAAAAGTGTAAATTAATTGTAAATTCTACCTGAGCAATCAAAAGTAAGGATATTGAAAATTAAAACTAAGCTATCAGCAGTGCAAGTTTTTAATAATAAAACATATTTTTCAGAATTTAAAATGTTGTTGTTCGTGTTTTTCGTCCCCTGTGTTACTTACTGATATATGGTTTTCATTCGAATAAAACAGTTACATATTGTTAGAAAATCGGTGTATTAAGTAATGCTAAGAAATATATACCCAACGAATTAAATATCAGAAGAAGACTTACGATAATAACAAGCTTATACAATGTTATTGCGTCTCTTAAGTTACTTTTCAATGTTTTGAGAAATAATTTTTAATATTTAAGTTCAAAGTCACTAATGTTCAAACTAGCTTTTCAAGATGTGTGAAGTCATTACTTTGCCAATTCTCGTAAATATAATTTTGATGTAAGAAAATACTTTTTCATATGATTCAGTTGCAATGAATCTTTTCAAATTTTAGGGACAAATCAGTAACTGCAGAGACATTTCGGTAACTTAATAGACATAATATTATATCCTCAAAATTGGTTTATTTATCACGAACATTATTATGGATACGTAACACAATAAGAAAGTATAAAAAATAAACTTAACAAGATTTTTTTTAAAAATTAAAAAAAAAACGAAATGCCCTCTAATAAAATAAATATAATTAATTTGGACCAGTAACAATATCAAGTTATTTTTAAATGTTACTTAATCTTTGTACTACATTTTTAATATCACTTATTTTCTTTAGTAACATGGTCAATATAAAGGTTTACTATTAACGTAACATAGGTAGGCTCAGTAAAATCTTAGTCAATAGTTTCTTTAATATCAGTCTTCTAATCAGTATATTATGTACTATAAGTCAAAACAAGTAATTTTATATTATCATTGTAATAATGAGTAATAAAATATTATTTTTCGTATATGTCTAATTGTTCTTGAAAATTATAATAGACTTTTCCGTTCTTAATTATTTGTTTTGGTTTAGGGAGAATTTTTATAATATCATTAAATTCAACAAACGCTATATAGTTTTTGTCTAATTTAAACTTAGTTGCACCCTTGTATGCCCGGAGAAATATCACTTTAGTCTCGCCATCGTCTTCGAGATCACTTTGTGCAAGGCTTGCGTAAGTATAAGTTTTATTCTTACCAGCGTGGACGCTTACTAAAAGGAAATCTCCGTTACTTGACAGCATTTTATTATTCCCAGAAGTCGTAGGCTGATTTTCTTCATTAGATGCGTCTATGGAACCGTAAACCATATCGTAAACAGCTCCTCGTTTACCCGCGTCCTTGGCTAAGTCTGTGTAGTTTATTTCTGCTAGTGCTTTGCTAGCAGTAGTTACTGTAGCTCCGGAACACCTCGATTTGATTCTGTTAAGAGGTACATCATCGTCAGAAGACATAGAAGACGAAAGAGTGTTAACGATATTATTATCACCACATGCACCACTAGCATCTGCTGAATCCGTAGGAGATGAAGGAATCACCATCGCAGTATCATTGTCGACTGATGCATCAGCAGTTGTTGTTGATACCAGAGGAACAGGATGGTAAATTTTAGGTTCTAAACACTTGCAAAATCCCCGTTCGCAAAAACAACTCAACGTACGATGCATTAATTCACCGTATTTGGAAGTGAACACTTGGTGCATGTGCAAAGTACCTTGTAATCTTGTAATGTTTCTTGGAAGCTCTTTTGAAATATTTTCGATATCTTCTTTAGTTATTACATACAGTATAATCTTGCTCGTTCTCTGCAAAGCACTAACGAATTGTTCAATATTTGAAATGTCCTTACCTCTGGCAACAATACCGTCTGCTGTTTGTTTTAAAAAACCACCAATGCCGTCAGCGGGTCCTTTGCCGTCGCCGGCTTCAAAAAATGACCAGGTCACCGCTTCAAAGTCATACTCAAAGGGTTTTGTACAAGCTAAATAAAAATTCTGTTTTTGCCTATATTGCGTGAAAGGACCATCGCTAAAAAAATGAAGAATTTTTACTTCAGGGAACCTAAATTTGATATTTCGCAAGATAGGATGCAAATGCGCC